TTTGTTGTTATTGAAGACCAACCTTAGTCCATGGTGATCTGATAGGATGCATGGGATTATTTCAATTTTCTTGTATCTGTTGAGGCCTGTTTTGTGACCAATTATATTGTCTATTTTGGAGTAGGTACCATGAGGTACTGAGAAAAAGGTATATTCTTTTTTTTTTTTAAGGATGAAATGATCTATAGATATCTGTTAAATCCATTTGGTTCATAACTTCTCTTAGTTTCACTGTGTCTCTGTTTAGTTTCTGTTTCCATGATCTGTCCATTGCTGAGAGTGAAGTCTCCCACTACTATTGTGTGAGGTGCAATGTGTGCTTTGAACTTTAGTAAGGATTCTTTTATGAAAGTGGTTGCTCTTGCATTTGGCGCATAGATGTTCAGAATTGGAAGTTCATGTTGGTTGACTTTTCCTTTGACGAGTATGAAATGTCCCTCCTTATCCTTTTTGATAGCTTTAAGTTGAAAGTCGATTTTATTCAATATAAGAATGGCTACTCCAGCTTGTTTCTTAGGATCATTTGCTTGAAAAATTGTTTTCCAGCCTTTTACTTCAAGGTAGTGTCTGCCTTTGTCACTAAGGTGGGTTTCCTGTATGCAGCAAAATTCTTCGTCCTGTTTATGTATCCAGTCTGCTAGTCTATGTCTTTTTATTGGGGAATTGAGTCCATTGATGTTAAGAGATATTAATGAGAGGAGATTGTTGCTTCCTGTTATTTTTGATATTAATGGTGGCATTGTTTGTGTGGCTATCTTCTTTTGGATTTGTTGGGAGAGGATTATTTTCTTGCTCTTTCTAGGATATAATTTCCCTCCTTGTATTGGCGCTTTTCCTCTATTATCCTTTGTAGAGCTGGGTTTGTGGAGAGATATTGTATAAATGTGGTTTTGTCATGGAATATCTTGGTTTCTCCATCTATGGTAATTGAGAATTTTGCTGGGTATAGTAAAATTTTGCTGGCTGGCATTTGCATTCTCTTAGGGTCTGTGTGATATCTGTCCAGGATCTTCTCCCTTTTATAGTCTCTGGTGAGAAGTCTGGTGTAATTCTAATAGGCCTGCTTTTATATGCTACTTGGCCTTTTCCTCTTACTGCTTTTAATATTCTTTGTTTTGTGCATTTGGTGGTTTGATTATTATGTGATGGGAGGTATTTCTTTTTTGATCTAGTCTATTTGGTGTTCTGTAGGCTTCTTGTATGTTTATGGACATCTCATTCTTTAGGTTAGGGAAGTTTTCTATAATTTTGTTGAAGATATTTATTGGCCCTTTAAGTTGGGAGTCTTCACTCTCTTCTATACCTAGTATCCTTAGGTTTGGTCTTCTCATTGTGTCCTGGATTTCCTGGGTGTTTTGTGTTAAGAACTTTTCGAATTTTGTGTTTCCTTTGACAGTTCTGTCAATATTTTCTATGGTGTCTTCTGCACCTGAGATTCTCTTTTCTATCTCTTGTATTCTGTTGGTGATGCTTGTGTCTATGACTCCTGATTTCTTTTCTAGGTTTTCTATCTCTAGGGTAGTCTCCCATTGTGATTTCTTTATTGTTTCTACATCCATTTTTATGTCCTGGATTGTTTTGTTCAATTCCTTCACCTGTTTGGTTGTGTTTTCTTATAATTCTTTAAGGGATTTTTGTGTTTCCTCTTTAAGGCTTCTACCTACGTTCTCAATGTTTTTGAGAGTGTTATTTATGTCCTTCTTAAAGTCCTCTATCATCATCATTAGAAGTGATTTTAAATCTGAATGTTGCTTTCTTGGTGAAACGGGAAATTCAGGGCTTTCTAATGTGGGAGAACTAGGTTCTGATGATGCCAAGTACCCTGGGTTGCTGATGTTTATGTTCTTGTGCTTGCCTTTCACCATCTGGATTTCCTTAGTATCCTGCACTGTCTCTGACTGGAGCCTGTGTTTCCTATTATCTTGGTTGTGTCAGAACTGTTTGGTGTCGGTATTGCTGCTGGGATTAGAGCTGAGGCTTATGATCTGCTCAGTGCTCAGGCTGAGACTGGAAGGAACCAGTACCCCAGGGTCAGGAGTGAATTCCTGGGTCCCAGTGGGCCCCAGTTACTCCATGTTTGGGGAGGGTGTTGCTGTCTCTTTACCTAAGATACTGCCAGAATTAGAGCTCCTGGGAGCCCGGCCTCCTCTGGGTTTTGTGAAATTGGGTGTAGAGCTGCAGCCCAGGATCTATCTGCTCAGTGCTTGGGCGCAGACTGGAAGGGTAATATGTTTTAAGTAGCATATTTTACTTAAATATAGTTAACTATGAAAAAAGTTATTTTCATTTACTAGCTTTTTATGACTAAGTTCCATAGGCAAAAGAATGATCATATTAATTTTGAATTAATGAAAATTTAAAGGTTATTTAGAAATCTGATTATCCATGCTATCTTTTTTTTTGTCATAGGATGAAGAAGATGATCTGTTAGAGGTCACTTGTAGCAATAGTTTGAGCTCCAAAGGATGTATAATGGTATTTTAATTCTGATTTGGGGCCTGAATTTGGGAAAGGAAGAATCAAAAGTAGTTGTCCAAGAGACAAGATGTAAGTTCTACCTATCTAGAGTCAAGAAATGATTATTGACAACAGTGTAAAATCACAATTAACAATAGTTACTAGGAACTTACCTTTGATTTTTGAGAAATTACGGTATCTTTCTGAAAATGACTTAACAGGATATTTAAAAAGACAAAATTAACAATATTTTACTGATAAAAATTACTCATAGGAATTATTTTAAGTAAAAAGCTCAAATTTCAATTTTACTTGTTTTGCACATTATTTGCACAATATTCCATAACAGATCTTTTATTAATATGCCTATGTGTTTATATATCTAGATGTACACATATATCCAAATTATTGATATTTTAAAAATATTTGATATATGTTCAGTACCCTGTAAGGCACCTGAGGTGGACAGAAATGCCAATCTCATCCTTACTGAGAGAAGCTTCTCTCTGTAGTGAAAAACAGAGATCCATGGCTATTCAAGGTTCTGAGATTAAATGACAGCTAAGTGCTCAGCCCCAAATAGGATAGTAGAGCATCTTACCTGAAGCTCAGGGGCAGGATTAGGGAGAGGAGAGAGCTAGGGTGGGACATGAGAGAGTAGGAAGAAAGGGAGGAGGGCTACAAATCACCATCTTCTGAGCATGACAAGCCACTGGAAACACCAACTCATGGCATCTGTGATTGGGTGTACAGGGCCTACAGAGACTGAGTTTGTCTATATCCAGTCATAGATCCTGCAGGGACTCATGGCCCTATTCTTCTCTGCTGAACTATTGACTACTGATGGATTCTAGAGGTGAGGTAGCTGTTGTCTCCAGTTGTTTACTCACAAAATTTCAATGGATCATTTCAATCCAGTGGTTATACAACATCCTGGTTAGATCAGTGGGTCAGAAAACAAAAGACAAGATATGAATGTGGGCAGGGCAGTTTTGGGGATGATGTACATGTTCTGTGAGTGCTTGAGAAGAGCGTCTATCCTACTTGTTCAGTGAACTGTTGAGTAGATGCCAATGCCATCTGTTGGTTTCGATGCTTTTAGTTTCTTGCTGTCCTTTTTAAGTGTTTGTATACTTGCTCTATCAGTGCTTGAAAGGGGCTCAACCACTAACATTACTGGTTTGTCTCCCTGTTTCTGTCAGTTTTGCCTCACACGTTCATAGCTCTGTTGCTCGGTGCATCCCACTTGGAAGTCATAAGTTGTTTTATCAGTAGAGAATATGCCTTTTGGTTTTTTGGTAATTTTCTTTGATTGTAAATCTGGAGCCACTGCTGATGTGTTTTGATTTGACAAATTATGTTTTTTTCTTATGTCCTTTTTCTTTCTACCTGTCAATGTCGCTTTCTGAGGTGAGTTTCTTGTGCACAGTATATAAAGAGGTCTTTTGTTTCTGAATTTCAATCCTTTTGTTGTTGTTGTTGTTGTTTTTCTTTTCTTTTTTTATGTGTGAAGGTCATTTTTATGTGTGAAGCCTACTTCCTTGTTCTAGCCTAAAATTTAGATTCCTGTCTGAAATTACTTCTTTGTTCTAGCCTAAGATTTAGATTCCTACCTGAGATTACTTCTTTGTTCTAGCCTAATGTCAGATTCTTGCTTGAAGCTTACTTCCTTGTCCTTGGCCAATGTCGTATTCCTGCCAAGTAGCCCATTTCCTTGTCCTTGACCCATATCAGATTCTTGGCAAGCAGCCCCAAAGACCCTCCAGCTCTCCTCCTTTTTTATTTCGTTAACAAGACAGCCTGTATTAGGTCGTTCTGACAAGAATGCCTTTCTTACCCGTCATGGAATTTGCATTATCAAAAGTAATGCACTTCTGTCTTAGGTTGGTAAGACTCTGTGCAGAATCTTACCTGTCTTTGGCTTGCCAGCCTGTTAATTTAATAACTCTGTCTGGGGGGAATTTCAATCTTCTAATCCCCCTTTTCATTTGTATATTTAAACCATTAATATACAGTGTACTTATCAATATATTGAAGTTGTAAATCATTTTTCTAATATTACTTGTTTTCTTTTCCCTGCCTTCATATTGGTTACCAATCTCTTTAAAATTTCACATTAATTTATCTTTAGTTTTTAGTATATACTTTTGTATAGGTTTTTTAGTTTATGCTTTCATAATTTTGTCAGTTTAAATGTGGTATAGAATACTTTCATATATCTTTATTTCTCTCCCTGTATAACATACTAATCTACAACTCCTCTATATTCATTTAAAACCATATCAGACAGTGTTATAGTTTTTGTTTTAAGCATCAAGTATAACTTAGACTTGAAAAGGAAAAGGGAAGCTGGTGTCCTTGCATTCTTTTTGTTTTCTCTCCTTTTTTCTGATACTCTAAATTTACTTCTTCTATTTATTATTTCCTTCTTTGAGGATTTTATTTAGTCATTTAAAAAATATTTATATATTTTTCTTTTATTGTGTGGATGTTTTGCTTGCATACCTGTAGGTTCACCATGTGTATATCTGATGCCTGCCTAGGTCAGAAGAGGGTGTCAGAGAAACTTGCTTCTTTCCGTGTGAGACCGAGTACTGCAGATATTTGAACAGTAATCAGGAAGAAAAGTGGAATTGTGTGAAGTAACTTTTTGGATTTATTTTTTAAAAAACTAATATAAACAGAAAACTTTATATTAGTCCTTGTCTCTGTCCAACTCCATATCAGAAATGGAAGTAACTGAGCCCATCAGCAATAACAGGAACTGTGCAATAGAAAACTTCAAGAAAGAATTTTACCCCATCATATACCTGATAATATTTGTCTGGGGAGCCTTGGGAAATGGCTTTTCCATATATGTCTTCCTACAGACTTACAAAAAGTCCGCATCTGTGAATGTTTTCATGCTCAACCTGGCCATTTCAGATTTCCTATTTATAAGCACCCTACCGTTCAGGGCTGACTATTATTTCAAAGATACCAATTGGATATTTGGGGACACAGCCTGCAGAATTATGTCTTATTCCTTATACGTCAACATGTATACTAGCATTTATTTTCTAACTCTGCTGAGTGTTGTGCGTTTCCTAGCCACTGTCCGCCCCCTCCAGATGCTCCATGTCACCAGCGTCAGGAGTGCCTGGATCTTCTGTGGGATCATATGGGTCTTCATCATGGCTTCCTCAACACCACTTCTGATGAATGGCCAAGAGAAGAAAAATAACACTATGTTGTGCTTGGAGCTGAATCATCAAAAGGTTAAAAATCTTGAGATAATGAACTACATTGCATTAGTGGTAGGCTTCTTGCTTCCACTTTTCACACTCACCACCTGCTACCTGCTGATCATTCGGGTCTTGTTAAAGGTGCAGATTCCAGAATCAGGTCCACGGACTGCTCATAGGAAGGCTCTGATTACCATCGTCATTGCCATGATCATCTTCCTCCTCTGTTTTCTGCCATACCATGTACTGCGGACCCTCCACTTGGTCACATGGAAGGCAGATTCATGTGGGAATGAGTTACATAAGGCCACAGTCATCACACTGACCTTGGCTGTAGCCAATAGCTGCTTTGATCCCCTTCTCTATTATTTTGCTGGAGAGAATTTCAAAGCTCGATTAAAGGCTATATTCAGGAAAGATCATCTATAGAAAGCAGTCAAAATGCAGCCTTCCTATATTGTGTGTAGCTGAAGAACAGAATTAAGAGTATAGGGAGCTGTTCTACAGGTATGCTTCTGAATATTGTTGTCCACCTTCATTCACTCAGGGTCTCCAAATTACTTTATATTTGCATCATAACCCACAAGTCTTGGTTCCTGACATTTAATTGACCACAACATTTGCTAATAAAGCCTATTTCAGAATTTTCATTAGATGTATTTTTAGTGGTTGGAACTAAGTGAGAAATGTAGGAAAAACATTTCTACTGGAATCTTGCATGCTGAAATTTGACATTGGGAAAACTTGTCAAACACAGTAGTCCTTGTTTTGCATCAGATCCTATGCTCACTCTCTGGCCCAGACATTCTAAATTCCTAACTTGTAGACATCTCCTCAAAATCCTTTCCCTATTAAAGCCTTTGAGACCCAGTCAAACCTACTAGGGGTCTCTGTGGAGCTAGGAGAGCATCCCAAAGGCTCTGGATCAGGCTCTGATTTAAAGAGGAAAACTGTCCTCTAATAATGCAAGTTAAGGTCAGACAAGGTTGGTGAGAGAAAAGGAGGAGGATTAAGGCAAAAGAGAGGGAATGATAAGTACAGGTAAAGAGTAATTTCATCTTTGCCTCCAAGAGATGGGTTCTAGCAACCAAATGGAAGAATGTACCTTTTGTCTTTCTTACTAATAGTTAGGAAGACTGAGGAATGGGGCTGTGTGGGGATCACTTCCTTAGGGGATACAGGAATTGTGTGTGGAATAGGGATAAGGAATAGTTATGGACATGCGTCTTCTGAAACTTGGGTCTGAACTGATGTCATTGTAGTTATTGGCTCCTCCTATTAACCCATGGAGATAACAATTGAAGGAGATGGAGCTTTGGGAAAGGGTTGAGCAGAACGTGAGAAGTGATATTAAAAAAATTCCTTGATATTAGAAAGAGACCCTTTCTATCCACAGAAACTTACTACAGATACTACCAATTATTCACATGATCATTGTGTTGACCCCAACAGTCAAATGTCATCCCTGTGCTAGGTCTTTCAGAAATGCTGGAGAAAGCACAGAGATTTCATGGGCAGAGAACTTAAGAAGTGTGTTCCAGTGTACACAGCTATTGAGCACTTTAAAAGCTCTGAAGAAATGTTGACTGGGTGCTCTCCCCTCCACCACCTCCTGCCCTGTGAACCTCCAGAAAGTCTGCATGGAAACCCATGGTCAAAAGTCTGCATGGAAACTTTCTTTCTTGTCAGACACATATGCCTTTCTCATCCTTACAAGGAAACCAAGGTCTGGGGGCTGGAGAGATGCTTTAGGGGCTAATAGCACTTGTTGCTTTTATAGAGGATCCAAGTACTGATATAGAGGCTCACAGCCATCTTTAACTCCAAGTCCACAGGATTTGATGCTCTCTTGTGACTCTGTGGGCAGGCATACAGTGTGCAGACATACATACAGACAAACATTCATACATGTGAAAATTCTTAATGACAACAACATTGAAAAAAAAAGCAATTTTTGGCCTCTGGCACAGTTGGGGATAGAAGGGAGATTGCGTTCTGAAGTTGGAGAGTACTACAGTAGTGTTTATATAAAACAATGACTCTATAATCTTCCTTTATTTACCTACCAGAATAATAGATATCAGAGGAAGCCTCTCATAGTACATCTGCCAACAGGGAAACTCCCCTATCCTAGAGAAAAGGTTGACAGATACTTGGGAATCCTCCAACCCAAAACTTGAGTGTCTGCTCTTTCATTTATCTCACAGTGAAGCCTACAATTTAATCCATCCCCTCCACTCCCAGAGAGCATCAAGACAACTTGGTCTAGTCCCACTCTTGATTATAAACAAGTTAATGACCACACAATTTTCAATGGAAAAACCCCTTAACATTCAAGGCACCAACAAGATCGCAGAGGGACACATCATCAATAGGAAAGGTCTCAACATTATTTTTACTTGTATCAGAAAGCAGTGGGATGCTGCTCAAAACAAACAAGTAAACAACCACAAGCAGACAGGCAACCAAGACAATGATAGCACGATGTAGTCATTAGTGTGCTAGAGAAGAAAAGTGTTAACTAAGAGCTCAAGTAATAACTGGAGCCCACTATATAGTTGAATATTTACACAGAGCTTGACACATGGAAACACTATGATGGACTCTCAGGAAAAGAGTGGGGAGGGTACATGTTGGGTGGGAGAAGGGGTACAGGAAGCTTTCATTTCCACCAGAGAGAATTCATGTTAACCAAAGTTGGGGAGCAATAAACAGTTACATAGCGTGTTGTTTAGTAAGAGGGAGTGAATGGGGGTGGGAGGGAGGTGCAAAAAGACCTGGAGGAGATTGCCTCTGGACAGGGAGTTGAGGTGGGATATTTGTTACTGAGAATTGTCAAACTGAGTGACTTGTGAATGTGTATTGCTGAAATAAAATGAAATTAAATAGAAACCTTTACATCAACTTGTGTTTTTAAAGAAGAATAAGAATAACAGAAATGGTACCAGGAAAACAAAACAAAACAAAACAAAACGAAACAAAACAAAATAGAACAAAACAAACCCTCTCTTAGTGTGGAATGTCTCTGAGGCAAGAGACAAAACTGAAGTGTGTTTGCCCAAGGGAAGGCCAGGAATGCCCTGAGGTTTTTAGATACAGCTCTTGTTGGTTGAGAGATGACATGATTCTTCAAAGAAATATGCAAACTCTTCAAACAGGAGAAAGGATTTTTGGTGAGGAAGTTTTTTTTAGTGGGGGCCAGGTCTGAATTAAATTGTGGTTTAGAACCGTGATAAGTAATGTAAACCTTTTAGATTTCATCGTGGTTTATTCACAAGCAGAGATGATGTTAAACTAGAAAAAAAAAAGTAAGGACAGGAGAGTGGCAGACATGATAGCTTTCTGTCCAGAGTTCACTTTCTACCTAGAAAAACATTTGGAAGATAGACATCCATCAAAGGAGAATGGGAGCTCAAGGAATATGGGCTTGAGAAATTATCACCTTAACGTCCAGCTGGGAAAGGGAGAGGCTAGCAAAAGTCACAAAGGAAACTACATTGAGAAGGAACTTGTAATAATGCTGATATGGATTTTCACATTCTGATATCATAGTAGCACTAGCGTAAACATCTATAGGGATCTAAAAAGAAACAGCTTGGACACAGCTGCTTGCCATGTAAAGCTAGCTGCGTGATGTTTGCAGGGAGCACAAAGCTCAGCCTATGGACTGCTAACTCTAATTCCCTATGCCTTTGCATTCCAAGTATGAGTAGACACAGCGAGACCTACTGACCATAAAGACAACCTGGAGCATGGGTCAGCTGGTGTCTGACAAGAGAGGCTCACAAAATACCTCAATCCTTTGCATAACAGACAGGAAACAGCAGACTGTTGTGTTAGGGTTTTACTGCTGTGAACAGACACCATGACCAAGGCAAGTCTTTTTAAAGGACAACATTTAATTGGGGCTATCTTACAGGTTCCCATTATCATCAAAGCATCTAGGCAGATACTGTGCAGGCAGAGCTGAGAGTCCTACATCTTCATCTAAAGGCTGCTAGTGGAAGACTGGCTCCCAGCCAGCTAGGACAAGGGTATTAAAGCCCACACCCACAAGGCCACACCTACTCCAACAAGGCCACATCGCCCAACAGTGCCACTCCCTGGGCCAAGCATATACAAACCATCACAGTTGTGTAGCTTGCACATTGGGGCACCAACGATCAGACTGCATTTCCCATCTGATGGTACAATGAGGGCTTGAATCTCAGTAAATTAATGTCCTTCAAATCAATTGATGCTATATAGTAACATTTTAGCTGGAAGCCTTCATCCATTCCTTATTAACAACATATTTTACACAAATAAAGACATAAGCTGAAGGAGAATCAGATAGCGGCCTCTGCTCTTACTCTCTAGTACAAGGACTAAGCTCTTATTAATACTGCCCTGGTCATTCACAGATCTATGATCATAGAGATCATCAAATCTCAGTTTCAGATTATTCTTGGTTTTATCTATAGTTTTACCACATAAACGTCTGCCCACATAAAATACGGTTTTGTTTGAATGTTTGTGTATTTTGTTTTGGAAAATGGAATGATACGAGAACTTTTTCTTTCCAGATTTAGTTATTCATTTGTTTGAAAGATGCTGCCTCTGGGATGACTAACACAATTGAACTATTCATGCTTTTGTTAATGAGGACTTAAAGGTTTTTGTGGTATTTTTGTTTTGGCAAGGTCTCATTCAGCCTGGGGTGGCCTTGAATTCACTATGTAGCCAAGGATAACTTTATACTCTTGATCCTCATGCTTTGGTCTCCCAAGTGCTGGATTACAGGCATGCACCACCATGCCTGATTTTATGCCTGCGGACTAAGCACTCTACCTACTGAGCTGCATCCCCAGCTCTGTGTCTTAGGTCTCCATCAGTATTAAGGAATATATTCTCATATGTGTCTTGGTGCACACACTTAGTAAAAAATATTCTCCAGATCCTGAACTTAGGAATGAGCTCATGATAACACATTTTTGAGTACTACTTAGCTCTTTTCCAAACTGTTTTTTTTTCTAACTCAAACCCATTCCAGCAGTATAAGTGACTCTCATGAGTCACCTTCTGTGGTGGTTTAAATAGGAACGGCCCCCATAGACTCATGTGTTTGAATGCTTGGCTTATAGGGAGTGGCACTACTAGGAGATGAGGCCTTGTTGGAGGAAGTGTGTCATGATGGAGTCAGGCTTTGAGGTCTCCTATGCTCAAGCTACACCCAGTGTATCACACAGTCTCCTTCTGCTGCCTGGAGATCATGATGTAGAACTCTCAGCTTCTTCTCCTGCACCATGTCTGCCTGTATGCTGCCATGATGGTAATGAACTAAAGTTCTGAAACTAAGCCAGCCTCAATGAAATGTTTTCCATGTTAAATGTTTGCTGAGGTTATGAAGTCTCTTCACTGCATTAGAAACCCTAACTAAGACACCCTCGGTGAAAGGTAAACTCTTTGGGATGAAAGCTCATTGAGTCAACTATTATAAACAAGTATTATACTTTTAGCAAAAGGACAGTGGTAGCAGATGGGCAATCTGAAATATAAGAAGGAAGAGTGCACAAAGATATGGGCAATTACAGAGTGCAAGCCTAGAACTGCAGATTGTCAGCTGGGTTAACTGTCTACAGCTATTTGTCACTGCCTAACTGTCACCTATCCAACTGGCATCCCTTTGGTATCAGCAGCTAGCATTTATTAATGTAATACTCTTTTCTAAAATATATGTGTGCATTTTCATGCAGTACAAGAACTTGAAAATATCCAAAATATATTAAAAAAACTCAAAAAAATTAGGCACCAATAACCAAATAACCCAATTTTTAAAATGGGGTACAGAGTTAAATAGAATTCTCAAAAGAGGAATCTCTAATGGTCTAGAAGCACTTAAAGAGTTGGTCAACGTCCTTTGTCATTAGGGAAATGCAAATCAAAGCTACAGTGAGTTTCCATCTTACATCTGTCAGAATGGCTAAGATCAAAAACACAACAGACAGCTCATGCTGGTGAGGATGTGGAACAAGGGGAACACTCCTCTGTTGCTGGTGAGAGTGCAAACTTGTACAGCCACTAGGAAAATCAATATGGAGGTTCCTCAGAAAATTGGCAATCAATTTAACTCAAGACCCAGCTATACCAATCTTGAGCATATACCCAAAGAACACTCCATCCTACCACTAGGACACTTGTTCAACTATGTTCATAGCAGCTTTATTCATAACAGGCAGGAACTGAAAACAATCTAGATGTTCCTCAACTGAAGAATGGATAAAGGAAATGTAGTATATTTACACAACGGAGTATTAGTCAGCTGTTAAAAACAATGACTTCATAAAAATTTTGGGCAAATGGATGGTACTAGAAAAGATCATCCTGAGTGAGGTAACCCAGACAAAAAAGACAAACATGGTATGCACTCGCTTATATGTGATGTCAGCTGTTAAGTAAAGGACAATCATGTTACAGTCCAAAGATGCGGAGAGGCTAAGTAACAAGGAGAGCTCAAGGTGGGTGGGTGGGGGAAATGCACGGATCTCCCTGGAAACAGGAAATAGAATAGGTTTTGTGGGTAAAGTAGTCACTGGTGGGGGGTGGGGATCAGGTAATAGTGAGAGAGAAAGAGAGGGAGGGAGAGAGAGAGAGAGAGAGAGAGAGAGAGAGAGAGAGAGAGAGAGAGAGAGAACAAGGAGAGACCCCTGGAACTGGAGGGCATTTGGGAGTAATGTAGAAACCTAGTGCAGTAGAAACTCCTTGGAATCTGTAAGAATGACCCTAGTGAGGTCTCCTAATATGAGGGATAGAGTAACAGGGGCCTGAACTGGCCATCACCAGGCAAGACTCCTAGCAATGTGACTGGGTCATCCACTCAGCCACAAAACCTTTGACCTACAATCTGTCCTGACGGCAAGACATGCTGGGGCAATAGTGGCACAAAACTTGTGGGAGTGGACAATATATGAATGATCCAACTTGAGTCTGCTTCTCATGACATGAGCCTTACTGGAATTAGTGTTGCTCAAATGTATATAGGTGGGGGCCACCCTCTGAGGCATGGGGAATCTACGAATAGTCACATCCCCTAAGAAAATTGACTCTTCCTTCCTCAGAGGGCATCAAGGGCTAATAGCTTCTCAACTAGGAGTAGGGTCTTGGGAGTACCTCCTCTATCCATTTGGCAATTCTGACTGGCTTGGTCTCCTGTAGGTATGTGTAGGGAGTCTGCCATAGCTGCTAAGAGCTGAGGTAAGCATCAGTTGTGTCATATCCAGAAGGCATTTCACAGCCCCCATTCCTTGGCTCTTACATTCTTTCCACTGGGTGTTCTGCAATGCTTTCTGGATATTGAATAAGGAAAGTTTGCAGGTATAAATTTTTGCAACCTACTTTTAATAAGGGTTCAATCTCTCTTCTAGCCCACCACTCATCAGAGATAGTGGAAGAGAAAAGTTATTAGTATATGGGGGAAGTGGACCTGTCCAGCAATAGTTCTTTGGGGGAGAGCTCAATCTTCTTTGGCAGCAGTTTAGTCCTGTAGCAAACACGAAATTCAATTTAGCAGCTGCTAATCAGTCCTCCAGGCAGGCAGACCTCAGATACGAGCTACCAGCCACAGTCCAGTCCTTTCAGCAAGCAGACACCAGGCAGCTGTAGTTCAATCCAGAAAAAACTGCCAGGCTCACCAACTGGCCTGAGGTGAGACCGTAAAATTGTTAAACTGCCACAGGAGCCTCACACACAGTTCTTGGGCATTTCTCTCAATGGCAGTCTTACCACAAGTAGACCGCAACAACTCTATGTAAGGCAAACCAATAATGTGTGTCTAAAGACACACAAACCAAATGTGTGTCTTTAGTGAAGAATATGATGGCAGGACAAAGCAAACTAATACTCGGTGCTTGTCTCCCACA